TCTCAACAGAGGCAATATATATATATATATATATATAATATCGAATGATGCAAATATAAGGGTTTTTGAATGATGGCATGCATTTTCGTGAATACTGTGCAATTTCGTCTTTTAATTGTCAAACTCTGTAAAATTATGCTAGAATAATCTTTCACCTAATATAGTTCTTTCTTTTCTGTGCTTATGTAGGTATGACAGGGAAGAACATGACACAATGTTTGATTCTTATAACTCGTCATTATTCCAGGGAGATGATACTTTTCAAAAGAAAGAGGCGGAGTTGGCAAAAAAAGTGGTAAATATTCTGCTTATTGCTACTTTTCCTGTTGAATCATATGTTATCATTTTTTATTTAATTACTTGCTCCTTGTTCAGAAATGAAGATTTTAATTTCCAGTCGCATACTAATCACATTTGTTGGTTGTAGACTCGAAAGGATGGGAGTTTGATGCCTTTAGCACAGAGTAGAAAGCTGTCACAGTTGACTGCTGATAATGCTCAGTGGGAGGACCGCCAGCTTTTGCGTTCTGGAGCCGTAAGAGGAACCGAAGTTCTGATGGAGTTTAATGATGAGGATGAGAGAAAGGTTATCCTTCTTGTTCATGGTAAGTTCCATATTTATTTGAACATAGTTATTGTTAGTTCAATTAAATTGTTATAAATACTTATGAAAGCATTTTTATTATTTTACTAGGCATGGAGCTTAATTGAAAATATGACACTCAATAGGACGCAATGGAGAAAAAATAATTCATGTAGCAAACCCCACTTGGTGGGATAAAAAGGCTTGCTGTGTTGCTGTTGTTGTGCTAGGCATGAAGCTTAGGAAAAAAGAACCTAGTTTTTTGCTATTTTTTTTCATTATGTTTTTTTGGCTACAATTTTTATCCTGATATTCATTACTATTTCTAATTTGTGACTTCCATGTCCATATTTAAGTTGAATTTGTCTGTATCTGGATTCATGTAGAGACAAAGAGTACCCAATGGTGAAAAATGATTCATGTAGCCGACCCCGCTTAGTGGGATAAATGCTTCTTGTTGTTGTTGTCTCTATCTGGATGGAAATAACAGTTATACTAGTTGGGCAACCGACCTGCTGTGAAAATTTCATGCTTGAGGAATCTGATAGGCTTATTCTCAGTTTCAGGCGGTGCAACAGAATTCAATCTAATTTAACTTTGTAGCCGACCCCACTTAGTGGGATAAATGCTTCTTCTTGTTGTTGTCTCTATCTGGATGGAAATAACAGTTATACTAGTGGGGTAACCGACTGGCTGTGAAAATTTCATGCTTGAGGAATCTGATATGCTTATTCTCAGTTTCAGGCGGTGCAACAGAATTCAATCTAATTTAACTTTGTAGTCAATGCTATTAAATGGTGAAAATTTCGTAGTCAGATTTAAATTTTAGTTTTTCGTGCCCTTGAACTCTATAAATCCTTTTTTCCCTACTATTTATGTTCAGTGATTATTGTTTCACACTACTGACAGTGTATTTTGAAAAAAAAATGAATAAACTACAAATGAAAAGAATTTTAAGCTCCGTTCTCCAGTCACTTCTAAATTCTCCAACCAAAAGAAATGATCAATCTAGCTTTGAAAATTGTAATAAAGTTTTATTTTATTGGTTATGGAAATAGCCTTTCTTGAAATTAGCTGTATGACTTCGTACATCAACTCCCTTGTAACCTTGCATTTGCACGAACTTGGACTCCCACTTTTCTTATATCTTCTTGATACAATACATACTGTTTAGTAATAGTTAGGTGCATATTTATCAGTTGGTGGGCACAACTACTTACGATTGTTTATAAAGAAATAGGTTCATATCTGCGCTGCTAAAAGGCTGATGTCTGGGTTGATTTTTTTTTTTTTGGAAATTCCTCTCATGTATTTCGATCTTTTAATTTTTTTCTTTATATATGCGCATGGTTTTTCATAAAGTATCTATTAATGCAGTTCTAGTGCTAATACATTAGCTAGGACCACAAGGTCGTCATCATAGTTTGATGTTTTTTTTCTTTATTTTCTTCTAGATACAAAGCCTCCCTTTCTTGATGGTAGGGTAGTTTATACAAAGCAGGCAGAGCCTGTAATGCCTATCAAAGATCCTACATCAGATATGGCTATCATCTCGCGCAAAGGATCTTCTTTGGTGAGAGAGATACACGAGAAGCAGAGCATGAACAAATCACGGCAACGAATTTGGGAGTTGGCTGGCTCAAAACTCGGTGATATTCTTGGAGTTCAGAAAACTGCTGAGCAGGTCCTTATTTTAATGTCATAAAAATTTGTTTTTTTTTCATTATTCACATGTAATTTTTCATATTGTTTTTCTAATAAAGTTTTAAATGTTCAGGTGGATGCAGATACTGCTGTTGTTGGAGAACATGGTGAAGTTGACTTCAAAGAGGAGGCAAAATTTTCTCAGCATTTAAAGGAGAAAAGTGTAGCAGTGAGTGATTTTGCCAAGTCAAAATCAATTTCTCAACAGAGGCAATATCTTCCTATATATTCTGTTCGTGAGGAACTGTTGCAGGTTCATATTTCTTTAAAAGTTTAATTCACTTTCTTTATAAATGTTTGAAATGTTATTTGCTCACATTCTCATTTCAACATTCAAAATTTTCTGTAAACGTGTTATCTTCCATTGTTAGTACCACATAGTTTATCTATGCAATAATTTTACAGCATATCCTTACTTTTTTTTCATACATTCATAAAAAGAAGGTGAGTTGGTAATGGAGGTGAGCCTACTGTCAAATGCATGAAGAGGGTAGAATTGGGGAAGGGTAAAATGATGCAGCACTTTAAAGTTTTTGGTAATGGGGAATTTTAAAAGTTGAACTTTTGAAAAGGAATATCCTAAATTGAGGAATAATGCTAATTATGATGTTAATTACTGGGTTAGTGTTCCAACTAAAAGTTTGCGATAATAAGGAATTTTTTTTATAAATAAAGTTGGCATTTTCATTTCATCTTTAGGTATTGAAGATGTGTTTGTACATTCTTGCACTATTTATTGGTTAAAAGGAGATATTCTTTGTTGTTGTAGTTTTTTATGTAGCTTAACGTTCATGTCCGTTGTTGAGGTGTATGCTGAACTTTGGTTTTCATTTTTATAATTAGATCCCAATGCTTTTTGAAACTATACGAAATTTCCTCATTTAGCTTATGAGGTTCAACTTGACACTCATAGTTTAATGTTGTCTGGCAAATTACCACTAGTTCTGAGCATGTGAACGTGTAATTGACATATAACTGAGTACCACATATTTTACTTTTCTGTAATGTCCATCTCAACTACTCAGAATATTACATCCTCTTTTCTAGATGAAAAATTTGGTAAATAGTCGAAGAGTCCAATCTCTTTTTTTGAAAAAAAAACTAATAAAATATTCTAAGAGGATGCAAAACTAAAAATCTTTTAAGATATGCAAAACAGAGCCTCACTATGAAACATTTGACAAATGCATTCCAAAAACTCTTAAGTTAAAAAAATGATAAATGATAGTAGATAAAATTGTCACCTTTTCAATAAATTAGGAAGAATTTGAAATGTACCCAATTGGTGATGCAATCTAAAGTCTTACTAAGAAATCCATGACAAATGTGAGCCAAAAAATCTTTAAATTTGGGATGAGAATGATGCAAGATCTTGTCTCCTAATTTTTGTTTTTATTCTTTACATTAACTTCATGATTTTGACTCCTGAAATATATATAAATTTATGGGAGTTACCTCACAAGAAGCATGATGGGAAGCAAAGTATGCAATCACTGGACAGCATTGTTTGTCTCAATAAAGTCCCCCAACGAGCTTATAGTGTAAGCTATTTTGAGTATTAAAATAATTATTTACTGAACAATAACATTTGGGACATATAATACGTTGCTGAGGAATATACTTGCAATGCTTTTAAAAAGCACGAACCATTGAGCATGACCTATATATGGTGAACCTGTATGTACTATTCATTTTTATGCTTTTCGTTAAACTATGGATGCATTTTTCTACTTCGAGTGATGCATGTCTGTAGAACCGCTTTCCTATTTGCATGTAGTGCTAATTCATAGAAGTGGAGACCATCTCGGATGTAGGGCTTGGAAATGGCTGACAGACGTACTTCATTTTTTCTTCTAGTTTTAAACCTATTTTCTTCTTACATCTTTCTACTTCCACATAAATCTTTTGCTCGTCTCTTTATATCGTAGTAAGCAGGTATTAATTTATTATTTTTATCTAACCTCTAAGATTTTATGTTGATGAGAGAAATTGAAGAATACTTTTTCTTATGGAGCCTATGTATTTATTCTTTATTTTTTGATGGTGAAATTGGATATATTCTTAGTCTGTTCATAAAATCTTGGCAGGTTATACGAGAAAATCAGGTGGTCATTGTTGTTGGTGAAACTGGTTCAGGGAAAACAACACAACTAACACAGGTTTGCTTTCGCAAGTTCACATTATAATTTGTTTATTCAAATTATTAATTGCATCTGATCCTAAATAATCTTATAGTATTTACATGAAGATGGCTATACTACGAACGGAATTGTTGGGTGTACACAACCCAGGCGTGTAGCTGCCATGAGTGTTGCAAAACGAGTTAGTGAAGAGATGGAGACGGAATTAGGGAATAAAGTAGGGTATGCTATTCGATTTGAGTATGTCACTAGTCCAAACACAGTCATAAAGGTATCACTTCTAACTTTTATCCTTGTGTTGTTTCTCTCCTTTTGAATGATGAGATAAATTTTGTTTTAAAAATTGCATTGTTTTGAGAGAAGGCAATTGTTAATCACCTGAAAACCTCATTTCGAAAGCCTTGTTTACTTGAGTGGGCAATTTGCTTGATGGTCTTTTTTTTCAAAATTATTTTTCTTTCCTCTTTATTGTTGCCCCTTAGTCATTGTCACCAAAATTATTCTTTTACCAAGACCTGGGCTGACTATATTGTTATTTAATGGAAGGGTGTGGGTTAAATTATTTCCAATCTTGTTTCCACCATTTGCTACTAGCCCAACTCCAACCTCTTCAATCCTTTTTTTTTCCTCCCATAGAATCAGATGTAACTTGACATTTACTAACTAGGCGATGGCTTGGCGATTGCTTAATTAGCTTTCCACTTCTGTTTTTTTTTTCAGCATGTGTGGTTTCGTGAGTTCTATTATGCACTTTTATCCTTATATTGTTGACTTTGTTTTCATGGCCTAATTTAGATGGGAACCAATGACATCTCACATGGCTGTATCTTAAAATTGAAAAAAATAAAAAGCGCTGAAACATGTGGCAGTAAACTAGTAAACTGAATCGAGGGCTTTTAATCTCTAATTATTTTGTTTCAACAAAAAAAAAAAAATGCATTTTACAATTACAAGCTGATTTTATACAGCTGATTCTAGGCCTTTTAATCTCTAATTATTTTGTTTTAACAAAAAAAAAAAAAAATGTATTTTACAATTACAAGCTGATTTTATACAGCTACTCTGAAGTTTCTTTTTTGTATGATCAACTTTCTGACTAACATGATCATGGTGTGATGAATTTATATGAATCCTTTTTTTGCATTGTGTCATATTGAGTGTCATTTTTTCATTTAATTCTTACAAACATAAGATCATTTTTTAGAAATGTGA